GTTGTTGTTACCGCACCGCTCACCTGTCGGTGTCTGCTGTTGGCTGCAGAGCTTCCCCGGGGAAGCAGGTGTCCCTCTGAGTCTTTTGAGAAGGGCACCTGGGACTTTATGAGCTGTCCCGAAAGCCAGCTAGGGACGCGGCATTTCTTGAAAGGACGGGCTCCTTTTTTCCTCTCCCCACTGTCTGGTCAGCAGAGCTTTCGAAGACCGACATCTTCGAATTGTAGCGCACCTTACGATTCTTGTCGAGCAAATCGTACTTTATAACGGGGACTTCACTTAGCTGAGGTTTTGAAGGCGCTCCAGGCCCCAAGTGCTCTTCCGACTCGGTTTCATTTATTGAGCCTGTGCGAGGGCGAAGCCTGTGGTGCAAATTTAAAAGGAGGCGCTCACTCACGGGTGCCTAATCTTTTGTCTCCCTTGCGGTCCTTGTGTTTAAACATGTTGTCTGAGTTGTACTTTTCATAATTGTGAACTTTCATTAGGACATATTCTATGTCCTTCTCTCTCTTCCCACTCACTGCTCTACTTCCTCGGGCCCCGCTCCTCTCCTTTCTTGTAATGAGAATTGAACGCAGGGCCTTTTAACTGGGCTGCGCTTTATGATCTACCTGCCTCAACCTCCCAGAGGGCAGGGATTACGGGCGTGCACCTCCACTCCCTGTTCCAAAAATACCAATTTTCAACTCAAGTGCGACAAAACTATGGTTTATCCTTGTTAACCGGCGTATTGAACCTAAGATGTTACTGTTGCATCCACATTCTGAAAATCCAGCTTGATTTCAAGAAAAGTGATTAATAAATTAGCACGCCCCTCATTTCATATTCATAGATAGAGCATTAAAACACCACTCAGCGTTTAGCAACAGTTCATTGCAAGGCTATAGGGAAAATTAAACTACAACCCGGAATTTTCAAGGACTATTGGACCGGAGACCACTTTTGTTCTTTGGGTGATATCATAGAAGAAAATCAAACAGCTCAAAGTATTACAATTACATTAAATATGCCGAGTCTCTAGGCACAGCTGGGAGCTAGGAATACCATCTTTTTAATGAGATGACCTTGCTGTGTATTCAGGCTAGCATTGCACTTAGTGTGAGTCAGGCTGGCCTCAAAGTCTCAGCTATCCTGTTTCAGCCTCTGTAGAGCGCATGCCCGACTGCAATTGAGAGGAGAAATATGTGAGAACTAAGAACAAAAGGCTCCAACGCTTTATTTGGTGTTAACTTTGATTGTTGAAGCATGAATTCAGTAAATAAATGTTAAATAATTTAAGTATCTGAGAATCACATAACAGTTCAATGGTGATTTTTCGAATGAAATGATGTGTACTTTCAAAAAGCTGTGTGGGCCGGGGATTTAGCTCATTGTTGCCGCAGCCTGCCTTGCAAGCACAAGGACCCGAGTTCGATCCCCTGTACCAAAAAAAAAAAAAAAAAAAAAAAAAAAAGATGGTGCCCGGCGCGGCCGGCCTGGTGCCCGACCCCTGCGCACGAATCTAATCCGAGTCCGTGGACGCTGAGACCCGCACGAAGCGCGCTATTACGGCGACCGGCAGGGCCGAGGCGATCGATCCGGGCTTCCGTTCTGTCTCCCCAGACGCCTACCTCTCCTCAGCCCCTGGCCAATGGGGCGGGTGAGGCGAGGGCAGTGAGAGGCAGATGTCCTGGTGACCTCTAGCCCCGGTTTTTCCAGAGAGTGACAAGTGGTTACAAGTCTTTGCTGCTGCCTTCCCTTAGGAATCAGCAATATGCACCAGGCAGGAAAATGTTCCTACAAGAAAAACAATTGAGATTCACATACAGATATCTTCATATTGGGTTCTAGAAATGAAAGAGAACTTGGATGTCTCCATCCATTCATCTACTTCAGAAAGCCTAACAAAGAAAAATGAAGTCCTGTTCTGAAATGAAAGCTACTTTGCTTAGGACCACATTTCATTTCTGCACAGGGGACAGTTGAAACAGAGGCAGAGCAGGAAAGAGGACAAAAGAGAAGTGAAGTGATAGGAAGAGAAACGGGAAGATACAGCACAAGAAGAACTTCCATCAAAAAGAGACCAAGATAGATTTAGTTACACATAATGAAAGGCTCAAGAGCCCCCTCAGTATCAGGAGAGTAGACACGGAGATACAGATCCTGCAAGCAGCACTCAAAAAAGCTGAACCAGGAGGAAAAGGATGGAACACACGGGGAAAATGGAATGAGGCAAACAGAGAAAGAAAACAACACCTTCACAGGACAGTATCCCCTTTAGGCTAGCCAGATTGCACTTAAAGAAATTTGGTACAGCAAGGCATAGTGGCGCATTCTTGTAATCCCAGTAATTTAGGAGGCTGAGGCAGGAGGATCACAAATTCATCCTGGAATGGTGGCATATGCCTGTAATCCTAGCATTTAGAAGACTAGGAGGATCCCTGCGAGTTTAAGGCCACCCTGAACTACATAATGAGACCCTGTCTCAAAAACACAAAACAAAGTAAAATTCAAGTTTGAGGCTAGCCTGGATAACAGTATAACAGTCTGCACTACCACATTAAAAAGGGGGAGCGAAGGGGCTGGAAATTTAGCTCAATGGTTCTGCTGCTTGCCTTGCAAGCACAAGGTCCTGAGTTCAATCCCCGGTACCAAAACAAAAAGGGGTATGGTGGCACACACCTGTAATCTTGGTATTTACGAGGCTGAGGCAGGAGGATCACCTCAAGTTTGATGGCAGCCTGGGCTACATAGTGAGTTCAAATTCAGCCTGAACTGCATAGTATGAGCCTTTCTCAAAAAAAAAAAAACAACCAAATTCTATACATACATACATTCTTCCACCTGCCTCACAGCATGGCTGGAAGAACTAGGTGAGAATATTTTCAAAAATACATATTAAACTACATGCTGGACATAAACAATCTATTGTTGTTTATCTTCGGGTCCTTGAAACACAGTTCCCTGCAGTTAAACTTCTTAGTAGCATCTATTCAACTGAAGTTCCCCTAGACTGCAGCTTCCTCAGTTTTATCCTGGACAGTTTGCAAAGGCAAACTATGAGCCCGAGAAGCACAGTCACACCCCATGCACATGTTTACTGCAAACAATGAGTGCAGCTGCACACCACAGGGAAGTCTGCTCTTCTGCACAATAGTAATGGTCCATATCAATAAAAACCATAATTTACACAAAGAAAAAAAAAAGAAAGCTGTGTGGTGCCCATCTCCACCTTTTCCAGTGGTGCTGGGGATTGAACAGTACTCCTAGTTCCAAAAATGTTTTCAATAAGATTCCTTATTAAACTGGGTGCGGTGATGCACAGCTGTAAACCCAGCACTTTGGGAAGCTGATGAAGGAAGACTGAAAGTTTGGGCCAGGTCTGGGCAGCTTAGTAATTGCTACCGACCGTAGGGCAGCAAACACAGGATTTCACGAGGAGATACAGGTTCTCTGAAAGGTGGGAGCAGGTTCCGCGATGACAGTCAGACAAAAGCACTTAACACCGAGGTGAAGTTTGCAAATGCTGCTGCAAAATTTATTTTTCAAAGAGCTTCCTTTATACAGATTTCTATTTCCTTATAGCAAGTCAGGGGCAATGAGCTGATCTCTCTAGGCATCTATTTCCGCTTGCTGAGCTGGCGCCTGCCAAATACATCATTATAGAATACATTGTGAAAAGTTAGCAGGAGTTTAAGCTTTCTTTCCATCTTAGTTGATAATATGCCAGTGGCCATTTTTTCCCCAGTGATTCATTGTTTCTCAGATGTTTGACAATATATGGTAATTCTGATGAAGTATCAGTAACATCTGTAACATTACATGCTATTTTCCTGAGAACTATTTCCTTAAAAGAAATATTCCCCTCAAATGCACCTTCTGTTCAGTTATTATTTGACTGAGAAGGCTGTGTCCAAACAGTGACATTCTTATCCTCCATATCTTTGGGTACATCTAATCCTTCTCCTTCTTGAAAACCACTAGGCATTTTCAAAAAACACAAACACACAGAGATCAATAGAAAATAAATCAAAATTGTAACAGAATCCATTGTCCCCAAGCTGCAGGCGAAGAAACCAAGAATTCCTTCTTTGGCTGACTTTTAATGCTGTGCATGCCAAGGATCTCCAGAAGGCTTGACCCCGGAGGGGACGATACCTCAGATCCGGTTTCTGCCAGGTGGTCGGCATTGTCACGCAGATTCCACTGGAGTGGTCCTGGCAAGTAATCTAGCAAGACCTTTTCTCAAAAGACAAAAATCAGAAAACCACGAAATAAGATGATAATGTAAAATAAATATGAATCAGCTTTTGAGAGCTTATCCTCCTTTCCTTGTTCTTTTTTTGGTCTATTCAGTATTAATGGCTGGAATACTTCGCTCTGATATTCTTGTACCCACAGTTTTTGTTTTTAGTGGGCTGTGAAACAAAACATTCTTTTGTAACCCCTAGTTAGCCAGCACATAGCAGCACACATTTCTTTCTACCCAGCTCCAAGATAAAATTAAAACAGAGTGTATGGAAGCCGGTACAGACAAACAAGAGAGCGACTCAAGGCCTTGTTAGAACAGAACAGCCTGAGGTCTGGAGATGAAAGGCCAGGGGCACCGTATACCTGACTCCTTTAGACAGATGGCAGAAAACCGGCCCCCTGACCCCTGGCCCACTTGCTGTGCCTGCGATCCTCTTCCCTTGCCTTTAAAAAACTGCTCCAACCCCTGTGCTGCGCTTCTCTGAGATGCTCAGTTCTGAGAGTGCCG